TTTTGCTGGAGAGGATGTGGGGTAAATGGAACACTCCTCCATTGCTGTTGGGAGTGCAAACTTATACAGCCACCTTGGAAATAAGTATAGCAATTTCTCAGAAAATTAGGAAACAATCTACCTCAAGATCCAGCAATACCACTGTTGGGTATATACCCAAAGGAAACTCAAATCACACCACAAGAACATGTGTTCAACTATGTTCATAGTAGCATTATTCATAGTAACAAGAACATGGAAACAACCTAGATGCCCCTCAACTTAAGAACAGATAAAGAAAATGTGGCTCATTTACACAATGGAGAACTACTCAGTAGTAAAAATAATAACATCTTGAAATTTTTAGACAAATGAATGGATCTCCAAAACATCATATTGAGTGAGGTAACCCAGACTCAGAAAGACAAATATAATGCACTCACTCATAAGTTGCTGACAGAGGTTTCTGTTCTGCTCAGTCCTTCAGTCATTCAGTCCCAAAAAACACACAGAAGTCTACATTAATCATAAACTGGTTGGTCTATTAGCTCAGGCTTCTTATTAACTATTTCTACATCTTAACCATAATTCTTGTCTGTCTTAGCCATGTGGCTTGGTACCTTTATCAGAGAGGCATTCTCACCTTAAACTCTCTGTGTCTGAGTGATAGATGCAGACTGACCTTTCTTCGTCCCAGCATTCTCCTTGTTCTTGTAGCCTTGCCTCTACTTCCTGCCTGATAGCCCTGTCAACACTTCCTGCCTGGCTACTGGCCAATCAGCGTTTTATTAAAATAATACAAGTGACGGGATAAAAGATCATTGTCCCACAGCAATGAGTGGCTTTTAAACATAAAGTAAAGAAAAAGCAGCCTACAAAACACAACTCCAGAGAACCTAGACAAAAAGGGGATCCTAAAAGAAACATACAAGAAACTAAATAGGAAAGAGAAAAATACAAGATATCCTTAGTTAATTGGGAGTGTGGGGGTCATGGGAAACAGTAGAAGTGGTGAAGGGAGGAAGGGGGGAACAGAGAAAAATTTATAGTCCAATATAAACAATAAAAAGAAAAAAAAGATTTAGAAGTAGTACTGAAATTCTGCGTCATTATTTGTTCTTCAAAAATCTTAGCATAAATTGTAATGTAATTTAATTTATCAAATTAAAATAACTTGGAAAATGTTGATTTAGTACCTACTTAATTTCAAGCAAAGAATGCTGTATAACAATTAGCATTATAAGCCAGAAAATAGATATTTCTAAGCCCAAACACTAGAATAATAATCCATTTGTAGGTATTTCCTTGGGAGGTATAGACTCCTCTTGAGGGAAGAGCAGCAAGAAGAGAGTTTGTTTTGCTGGCTTTTTGTTTAATGATAATAACACACTTGAGTAGATTGATTCTAACCAGATCAAATTGTTGTAGCTCCCAAGGAAATGTCCTTTCCATAAGCCAAGAGTCTCCTTTGATCATCCTTAAACCCTCAGAGACAGCCACACTGAGTATTCATAAGGGATGGATGGTTAATTGATGGAGACCATGGCTAAAAAGATGTTTTGTCACACTCCTCATTCCCTCCCTCCTCTGGATCTGTCTAAAGCTTGTTGCTATTTCATGCCCCTAATTAGATTACACCCATCATGAGGATATCTGTAGCAGTTCATTCATTCACCTTGTTTTTCTTATCCACAGGTTTGAATGTGAATGATACTTGTGAAGAGCAGGCTAAGATTTTGTGGTACTGAGGTGTACTGCAATCCTGATTTGGCTTGAAAAAAAATCAAGGCCAATACCGTTTAACATGATGAGCAAATAACACCTTACACAAATGAAATAATATACTTTTAAGCTTAGAAGATCTCAGATTGAATTAATTGGTATTTTTCCTTCAAATGATTCTTCAGGATAAGATGTATTTTATTTTAAGAGTCAAGGGGAATTTAGAGGCAGCAAACTGACTATGAGGCACACATGAAAACACATAAACATATTTGTGCATGTACACAGAGAGAGAAAGAGACATAGGTGGAGAAAGAATAAATATTTTTTAAAGAAAGTCTTTATAAATTTTTATCTAGAATTATTTGAGTGCTTAAAAATTCAACAACTTAAGCAGGTGGTGATGGTTCATGCCTTTAATCCCAGCACTCAGGAGGCAGAGGCAGGTGGATCTCTGTGAGTTTGAGTCCAGCCTGGTCTACAAGAGCTAGTTCCAGGACAGGCTCAAAGACGAGAAACACTGTCTTGAAAAACCAAAGAAACAAGCCAGAAGAATAGGAAGAAGAAGAAGGAGAAGAAGGAGGAGGAGGAAGATGAGGAGGAGGAGGAAGAGGAGGAGGAGGAAGAGGAGGAGGAGGAAGAGGAGGAGGAGTTAAATAGCCTAGAAATCATTGCCTATGCTGTCAATATTTTGATATTTTAAAAGATTTACCTATTTCTAATTATGTGAATTTGCACATGTGAGACGGGATGCTTTGATAAGGATCACAGGATGCCCTTAGAGTTGACTACAGGTGTATTTGAGCCACTTGGCATGAATGCTGGCAACCAAACTCTGGTCCTCTACAAAGCAGTGTGTGTTCTTACCTACAGAGACATGTGTTCACACCCAATGATTGTATTTTTAAGTCACTACAAAGTAAGAGGTGGTTTTCCTATAATCCTATCATAAACATGAGAAATTGTGCTTAGTTATGTCATGTTTACTTTACAAGTGTTATTATTTTGTTTCTTTCTTTAAAGGAGGAAAAATCTCAGAAACACTATTGCTGAATTTCATCACACTCTCATTTTTATTTCTTCATGGATTTCAGATTTCTCTGTAGCTTCCCAGACCACAGGACCTCAAAGCAATCAGGAATACTATAGTCATAGCTAAGGATGCCATTCTTCTTTCTTGTTATGGTCTTATTTACCTAAGCCTCAACAATTCTACAGGCATCCATGTGAGTGAATTAGATATGAAGCAGGTGAATTCAGTGAGGGAGAAAATGGATTTTTGTGAAATTCTAATAGAAACGTGTATATTTGTTGCTGATAATCTTGTAAAAGTCAAATTAAACACCATTTTTGCAAAGATTTTTATACACAAAGCTTGACATTAAAAACATGCAGTGAATATTTTTATTAAATTAAAATAATATAAACTAATTGATGTTATTTAGGATTCAAGAAGTAGATAACATGCACACAGAGATAAATCATCAAAAATAAGCAATTGTAATTATGCATATTTATGAGAAATCTTTGTCATTCCAATGAAAGAAAATAACCACTGAAATCTTAGGGTTTATAAAACAACAGAACTACTGGGCTATAACTTAAACCTAAGATGAAAAAAATTTTAAACCTCTGACTAGGGCTGGAGAGATGGCTCAGTCGTTAAGACCTCTGACTCTCACAGAGAACCTGAGTTCAATTCCTAACACCCACACGGCAGTTCACAACTTTCTGAAACTCCAGTTTATCGGCGAATCAATCCCACACCAGTTATGTTTTAAGGGGTTATTTATTTTGGGGGGTAAAACTTACATACACCATAAACCGTCAGGAAGGGAGCCTAGTTGCTGGAGCAGGAGCCGGGAGCAAGCACCAGAACCAAGAGAGCCTGATTCGGGATCTGTGGCTCTTTTTGAAAGAGAAATATACCACACCCCAGTGGGCTGGTATTTTAGCGGCTATTGGCTGACGGAGCGGAAGGCGCTCCCGTTGCACTGTGGGCTAGTGCTTCAGCGACTATTGGCTGAGGCAGCGAAAGATACTCCCACAACACCAGTTCCAGAGGATCTGACACCTTCACACAAACATACATGCAGACAAAACACTAAAGTACATAAAATAAAAATAAATAAATTACTTAAAAAAAATCTCTGACTTAAGAAATTTTCTTCCTGTGTTATATGTCTAGTATGTTTTTGAAAATTAATTTTTCCCCTCTGAATTACTACATAGGTTTCCATACCATGTTCTAACTTGTGAGCCTACTCTCCAAGTACATAGTCTCATCATTAATGACTTAAAATACTGGGGTGCAAATCTTCCCAAGAATGACATTTGGAAAAACTACTATCCCATGGAATTTAGAATGTAATAGGCATTTTTTTCATCTAGTTGAACCTCTATTTATTTATTGTGAGGCAACAGGGAATAAATTTTGTCTTGCTTAGCAGACATAGTCTATAAGAATGAAAAGATAAAAAATATTGCAAATGTCAAAATAAATAACATGCATTGCATGTCTCCATCTGGGTCTGTCATAAAAAAAAAACAATTAGGGACAAGGGAACTTTATCACAAAGCCAGGAAGCAGCTTATAAAGTGGAAGATGTTAATTTATCCTTACTATGTTCCAGAAATGGTGAAGTATCCAAATTTCAACTTTGAGATTACCGGAAGTGTTATAAACCTGAACGTTTCGAAGCACTCGGTTCGGAGTCATTCATGACTGTCCACACAACAGCCTTGCTTGTTTGCTCTTTGTTGGGTGCCATAAATATGTGATCAAGTTCAGGACATCAAAGCTATGTATACATTATCACAAAGTGATTACAAATGTTTAAATGCATAAACATAAAGTCTAAACACTAGGAACAAGATAAAATCACTTTTTGCAAAAAAAAAAAAGTGTTTAGTTACCTTAATACTGCCTTAAAGGGCATTTCTGCAAACAAAGATCTATTCACTCACTACAACAAAGGATGTGGTAATTATGAACTTGTCTGTCCAGGACAAATCACATTCCTGACAGCACCATCTCTTTGAGCTACCTCACCAGCCATACGGGTCTTATCATGAGTCATTACAATATTGGTTAATGGATTCAAAGAAACAGAGTTAATCTAACAGGTAAAAGCACTTTTGCCGTTCCTTAAATAAGATAAAGTTAAGGAAAACAAAGCTTGGAAGAAACAAATCCAATTAAAAGCCTAATTAAAACAAAACTCAACTCTACTTGCAAATGAGAAAAGTAGTTATCTGTGTCAGCAAGATTTCTTTAAGACAAAAACTGATGAACTTACCAAATATGGCAGTGTTGTGTTTAGTCACAGCAGGACAGCAAAGGGGAAGCTCTCAGAACGCTTTCTGGGTACATTTCCTGAAAAATGAAAATTGAAATAACTAAATATGAAAATATAAGCTAACAGGAACAGAAAAAACATTGTAAATAAAAGCATGACTTGTACAGTGGACACATTTTAAAATTTAAATTGTAAATATACATAGAGTTCAATCTTGCATATGATCACTGCTGCTTCTAAACTATCAGTTGATCTACTTGTTCATAAATCACCTGACTGTCATACCTATGTATGTACACTTGTGTGTATAGATTCATAACTGAAAATTTCTCCTGGTCATTATTGAAGTTCCCATCATTCTCTCATCTAGGTTAGTATAAGTGTATTGGTGAGTGGTTATTTGAGTGAACGATAATTTCCGTATAATAAACCCATGACACAATTATCAACTATTAATAATCAAAAGGTAAATTTTAATATGCTCCTAAATTAAATTCATAAATATTCACTTCTTATATCACATGGGCTAGCCAGTTTCAGTGTAAAAAATTGATTCATACCAAAATTAAATATTAATGAATAATTCCTATTCTGTTATTTAATACAAAGGATTTTATATTTCATCTGCATTTTTAGACTGATTAAAAAATCAACCAATATTCGAGACTAGAAAAGAAGTAATTGCAAGTAGTGATAAACAAGAAAGAGAGGAAGCTGTACAATGATCACAGTGTCAACTGTTCTAAATTAGAGCCTAACTTGGTGCCAGATATAGCGGGAAATACCTGTGACTGACACAGTTGGGATGCTGAGAAGAGGTTCGCTGTGACTTCCAGGCTAGCCTGGCTACAGAGTTAGATACTGTCTCAAATCTGAATGTGACTGACAATGAGGGCGGACTGAGAAGTCAATGATAATGACACCAAGTTTTGATTCTTTTTGATTCTACTGCATGTACTGGCTTTTTGGGAGCCTAGTCTGTTTGATGCACACCTTCCTAGACCTGGATGGAGGGGGGATGACCTTGGATTTCCCACAGGGCAGGGAACCCTGACTGCTCTTAGAACTGGAGAGGGAGAGGGAAGGAGAGTTGGGGCGTGGGAGGGAAATGGGAGGATGGGAGGAGGTGGAACTTTTTAATAAATAAATAAATAAACAGAAAAAAACAAACAGAAAGAAAAGGAAGGAAAATCAAATTGGAAAAGAAAATGATCATGTATGTTTAGGAACTAACTAAGTCAGTCAACAGTGACCTAAATTTTAATCCCAGCACTCAGGAGGCAGAGGTAAGTCGTTCTCTGTGAGTTCAAGGTCAGTCTGATCGACAGAGAAAGTCCCAGGACAGTGAGAGTGGTTACAAACAGAAACTCTGCCTCAAATAGCCTAAATAAATAAATAAATATGATGATAGATAGATAGATAGATAGATAGATAGATGGATGGATGGATGGATGGATGGATGGATGGATAGATAGATAGATAGATAGATAGATAGATAGATAGATAGATAGATAGATA